TATAAAGTTTTAAGTGGGAGAAAGTTTTGATAGACCCTGTTGGTGAGAGGGAAAAGCCGTACGGGAAGAATCAGCAATCCAGTGGCATAAGGAATTGTAATGTTCTCATTTATTCATTTGTTATTTCAGCTCATCTTTGAGCCAAGAGCTATTCTATTGATTGACTGATATTTTTTACCCCTCAGCTTCCTAACGTTAATGAAAATGTCCTTTACTTCTCTGCTCTACTTTTTTTTCACCAAAGCAACATAATGTCTCTCTTTCAATATTCTCAATCTTTATGAATTTTTTAGAGACAAGAGCTTGAATCCTGGACTGTATACTTTCCAGTGTGTATCCTGGGTTGACTCCTCTGTAATCTGTGTTTCCTTGATTACTGTGAAAGTTCAATGAGATGACACATGCAGATTCCAGGCACTGAGCCTCCCACGTAGGGGTCCTGGGTGACAGTGGGGTCCTCGCTACTCAGCTGACCTCCCTCCCTTTTCCTGTAGTCGTTTGCTATCAGTCCAACCGTGATGAACTCCGGCGTCGCATCATCCAGTGGCTGGAAGCGGAGATCATTCCAGATGGCTGGTTCTCTAAAGGCAGCAACTACAGTGAGATTCTAGACAAGTACTTTAAGGTAATCCAGAGTTGGGGTCGAAGTTCATCCCCAGGGGCAGAGAGACTTCCTTTCCCATTGCCTGATCACATCTTCCCAGACCATGAGGAAACAGAAACCTGCAGAGCGTTCCTGAGTGTTTGCTCACAGATTATTCCATGAAGCTGTGACAGTTGCCTCCTGACCAGCTTGATCAGTGGGAGTCCTGGAGTCAGGCCTTGGGCTCTGACACACATGGGCTGCTCCCTTTGGGCAGTTAAAACCACACAGGTCTTAGAGAGCCTGTATGTGAAAAATACGGCCAGGCTCTATCCCCTCCCCAGGATGACAGAGCTTGTAGAGCTGGCTGCTGGTACACACCACCTTCTGCCTCATCCAGTTTGACTCTTCTCTAAGTCATTAACTTGACCATCCATGTCCTGCAGAGTTCCTCTTCATCTGAGGAGAGTCAATGGACTGATACTTCATGGGTCCAGGGTTCTACATGAGCCATGATGTTGCTGTTCCCATCATGTTTAGTTGAAGAGACAGATCGTCCCAACTAGGGACAGGAGAAATGCTGCTTTCAAAAAGGAAACGGAGGGAGGAAATTGTATTTCACAATGAGTAGGACTTCCATGACATGGAGTTCTGTCAGAGAGCTTGAGACAGTTGCTGGAAAAAGCAACTAAGGGCCCTCTTCCAGGTGATTGGCAAGAACACAGGTGCACACATGTACATCACACTCAGAAATAAACATACCACACACAGAAACACAGACACGCACTCATATCACATACAGAGATGCGCACACCACACAGAGACACATCCTCTCCACAGACACACACACTCAGATACCCACGTTCCCACATAAACACAAAGCCCCCATCACCCACAGACACACACATCTCTGGGAAGACGCCCTCCGGGCTCATCCCCAGACGTGCATGCCCTCACATACCTCCAGGGCGTGTCCCAGAGCCTACCCAGCCCAGACTCAGGAGCAACCCCCACACATGAGGGGATTCTTGGCAGCTCTGTGACCACCAAATGTGGTCAACACCAGCCTAGCCTGTGGATTCCTTCCTAACTGACGTTATGGACCCTACAGATAGAGAAATACTGGATTGGATTGAAATAGGATATTTGGTCATTTAGGACTTTATTTGTGTTATTATCTTTAGGCAAACATTTCTCTCTGTGGCAGAAAGTAAATCTCTGGATTCCAAGTGTTTGAGAAGAGAAAGCACAGCCCTCTCACTCTGTCCCCTGTCTCAGCTGCTCCCACATTAGGGAGCCCTGGGGGCAGGAGTTGTTTCTTTGTCTACAGAAAAACACATTATTGCTGAGCCAGGAGAGTCAGATAGGAGCAGAAAGTAACATAAAGAAAATGATTTTTCAGAAGCCAAGTGAGCAGCACCTGCAGGGTCTGTCGTGAGCAGTGACTGTCACGGTCATTACGGCACAGGAGCCATGGGGTCACGGACACTCCAGGAGGCCTCTCGGGACCTTGTAACCGTTTGTAGTGGCCCCTTGATGGCACCTGCCTTGGGTATCTTTGGCAGCTGCTATTAATTTGATTCCCAAGGACCAGGGCCCCACACCTCCCTCCACAGATCCCTACCTCTTCTGTCAGTGACCATCTCTAACAGGCTTCCATCTGAAAACCGCAGGGCCCTTTGAGAAAGTAGCTTTTCTCTAGGGCGTTCTCATCCCAACCAAGAAAGCTTGCTCATGACCCATGAACTCAATGCTCGTTCTCTCCGTGTCCTCCGAAAAAATAGGGTTTTCACTATCTACTTTTTTGATGATTATCAAAGAACCAAGTGGTGCAATCTTCAAAGGGAGGCTTCTCCCCACTAGGCAAACAGCTGCCTGTTGCTGGGAGATCTGTATCTCACAGAGACTGGTTTCTGAGCCAAAGACTTGCCCTCCAGCCCAGCTGGCATTCCTTGCATCAGAATTAGTTGAAAAATAAATCGAATCAGAATTTGGATAAGACCAAAATCAGACTGTCATCTCAACTGGTGATTCAGTCACAGTTTCTTAGATGAAGGCTTAACAGGATGTAGAGGGGAAGACCCAGATAGCGAGCCCTTAATGGCCATGTTACACACACACCCTGAAGTCCTGGTGACCAGGGCTGAAACTGGAGCCAGGGTGAAAGCAGAAGAACTAGAGAACCTCTGAGACCTTTCCTTAAGAATTAGGACAAGAGTGATAAATAGGTATGAAGCCAGGGCCTATGCAGTTGTTTCATGCCTGCTTGTCATACATACCAAGGAAAGATTTACAACCTTAGGATGGAATACACGTGACACACGGAAGGAGAGTCAGTAGCTGTATCTTTCCCTTCTACCTGGACAGACTTTTCCTCCAGAATCCCTTACACCATCTGGGAGCCACCTTGAAAGTAACTTGAGGGTGCTAATGATTTCCCAGGACAGCAGTAGGAGGCAGACTACACAAGAAGTTTGAAAAAAAAATTTCCATTGGAAATATTTAGTAGAGCAACAGTACCCAACTTGGAATTTGATCAGCGCCTTGAAATTGCCACCCTCTGCCTGGACCAAGGGCTTGAGCATCCTGAACAGTCCCAGATGGCTACAGTCTCGGTGTAGCATCTTGCCAAGAGGGGACAATGCTGAGTGCACTATACCCTTGCCTTGTGCTCATGGGATGTGCTCTGGATCATAAGGACAGCCAGCACCCTCTACAGTGGGGCCACCAGTCAGGGAGCAGGGGTGGGGAACTTTGCACCACCTCTGTGGGCAGGTTATTGATGCAGATAACCTGCAGGGGTCTTTGCCTTTGATTTCTCACTGATGAGGTCTACTAGGAGTACCAGTGTGCGAGGTGAGCACTGAGAATGGGCCAGGGAGGCTGGAAATCAAGCAGCAAGAAATGGTCTTTTGATTCCCCAAGTGAGCTCAGAGGGGCACCTGCGTCGTTGTTCCCAAGCAGCTTGTTAGAAATACACACCCTGAGCTCTGTTACAGAGAGTCTGACTCACAACTTTGCTGTTCACACCAGGTTTGAAAACGTGGTGTGGCAGAGTAAATTTGAGAATATCTGGAGAACAGTGTCAGGGAGAGCTCTCAGCGCCCCCAGGCTTCTTGGACAGTGCAGGCCTGGGTTCAGGCTGCCCTCCTGAGCAGGGGCTGGGATTGAAAGGCCTTCCGTGGCCTCTGCCCAGGTACTTTCATTCTCTCATCTTGGCATGCAGATGCCTTCTCTGGGTGCCCCAGAGCTTCAGGCCTTTGTTGCTGTAACTCTGAGGCCAGTGCAGGGCTGGGTAAGAACGTGTCTAGAACAAGATGAACCAGAGGGGGTCAAGCTGAATAGGAGAATGATGGAACTGGGGTTCTATGAAACATTCCTGAAAGATCTCTTCCTCCCCCTTCTAGAACTTTGATAATGGTGACTCTCGTTTGGACTCCAGCGAGTTTCTGAAATTTGTGGAGCAGAATGAAACCGCCATCAACATTACCACCTATGCAGACCAGGAGAACAACAGGCTGCTTAGGTGAGTGGAGTGAGGGGGTCAGGGAGTGGTCCATGAGGGGAGGCTGGATAAGAGAGGGGATTTGAACCCTTTCCTACCTGCAAAGGAGCCACCAGGGTCAGTATCAATGGGAAGTAAAAAGCAAAATAGGAATTCTGTCCTGGTGTCTTCTGTGAACATTATGAACTAAATATATTGAGCACCACTGATATCTGATCAAGTAGTTACTGGTTTTGGCCAGAACTTGAAATGAATAGAAGAATGTAATTTTAAAATAAATCATCAAATCGGAGCAAAGTTGTTACTGAGTGTTATGGGTCATGTTTAATGGTTAATTTTCTGAAGGCATTTCTTTAGTGTTCTACTTAACTAAAATAGCTTTAGTTCTGATTTTTAAGATAATCAATGCTATTTCATATAGAGAACCCTAATTGTTACGAATGTGAGCACATTCTTTCTGGTATTTTTCCAGAGTAAATTTTAATAAAAATTAACCCTTGAGAAACTTCTGGTATGGTCCCAGTGTACTGGTAAGAATTAAAAACAGGAAAAGAACCTTTTGAGGTTCTTAACCCCCTTTTGTTCAAAAGAAGTGCAAATTGTGAAGCCCAGATTCTAGAAGGATTCTTCCTTAATAATAGCCCATGGCCTTAAGGCATATCTGCAAATCCTTCTTATTTTGATGACCAGAAATTAATATTTTACAAGTTCAACATTGGATCCTTATAGTATCCCATTGAAGGAGGACTCCCTGTCCCCATTTCACAGATGAGGGAACAGGTGCAGGCAGATTGAGTAACTAGCTCAAGGCTATTTGGGTAGCAAGTGACTGAGCCAGGGCTCAAACCCAGGTCAGGGGGAGAAGGAGAGGGCTGGGGTTCTGGAAAACTTTTCTGAAAGAGCTCTTTGTAGAAGGGTGATATTGGTGACGGTGGCTTGAACTCCATATTCTTTAAAATCACACATTCTTTTCATATCATCTGCTGCTGCCACTTCTGTTTGACCTTCCTAATTGGGTTGACATGACACTTACACCATGGGGAAAGGCAATTGCTAGTGGAAGGTGTGCAGGTAGTAAAATATTTGTCAATCCAAGTGGACAGAACCATTCAGGAAACTTTAATCATCTTGGGAAGAGCATTTGAACAGCTTGAGTGACCCAACATTCAGTAAAACAAACTGAAGGTTTCATGCTTACAGGAGTCACGTTGCATAATGGTTATGGGAGATCAGTGTAGAAGCTTTCTTTTTAAATAGTCCCCTTCTTGGCCGCCTATGGAGGCCCAGGTGTATGTAGTCCTGATGCTTAATTCCTTTCTTTGGGAGTGAAGCTGAGGTCTTGCTGATGCGCTTCTCCTGTGTTTTGTTTCAGAGGACTCTGTGTTGATGCTCTCATTGAACTGTCTGATGAGAATGCTGACTGGAAACTCAGCTTCCAAGAATTCCTCAAGTGCCTCAACCCCTCCTTCAACCCTCCAGAGAAGAGTATGCCTACCCTAAGAAATTGGGATTGTAGGGAGTAGAGGGGGGCATTTTGAGGGGGCCAAGATAGAGGGGATTGGTAGAACTCTCCAGAGCTTACTAAGAAAATTCCCTTCCATGATTCTAGACTGAGCCCCAGCCTATCATCTCCATGCTGAGGTTCGGGTCCAAAAAACTTTGGGTTGATGGTGGCATTTGCTCAGATATGGTGCCTCTGAGGGACAGGCAGTTCATGTCAGAAAGGGGAAAGGTGCACAGACGATAATAGCCAAGGCGTCTTATTCTGCCCTCACTCTAAACTGTTCCCCTAACTCTGGTCCCACAGAGTGTGCCCTGGAGGACGAAACATATGCCGATGGAGCTGAGACCGAAGTGGACTGTAACCGTTGCGTGTGTGCCTGCGGGAACTGGGTCTGCACAGCCATGACCTGTGATGGTGAGCTGTGCCTGGCACAGGAAGAAGGAACAGCAGGGAGAGAGCTTCCTTTGGATAATCACCAGGAGAGGAGTCAGGGAGGGGATGGTGGAGACTAATACAGTGGCTGGGAGCAAGGAAACTGAGGAAGGAGCAAGAGACAGACTCAGACTTGAGGTGTCAGAGCTCCCGGAGAGAGGCAGTGAGGGCAAAACACTTAGGCCAGATGCATTACTTTCAAAAATCACTCCAGAGGCTTGGGAGCAAGAGAAGTTCAAGACCCAGGGCAAGATCAATGTTGATACGGGGTTAGAATAGTAGTAATGATAGTGTAAGTGAACACTCATTTTGTGAGAGCTGTGTACCAGGCACTCTTCTAAGCACTTTACATATTAACCCACTTAATCCTTATGACAGCTTGGGAAATCCTATATGTCAAAGACTCAGGTGGTTGGAAGACAAAATGACCCTTCCTTGCCATCCATGCCCAGCAGTAAAAGAAGAAATGTTCATAGACCTTCTTTGGATTAACAATATTGGCTAATTCTTTTAAAAATGAGAGAGAGAGAAAGTTGAGATAGACAGGGTGGATTGGGAGACAGAGATGTCAGGGAGAGTTGTTGGAGTTTGTTGGGGGGCAGTGCACAAGCCAGCATCACCACCTCCACCCTTTTACGAAGAGCTCTTTCAGAAGAGTTTTCTAGAACCTCAGCTCCCTTCCTCTCCCCTTGGCCTGGATTTGAGCCCTGGCCCAATCACTTACTACCCAAGTACATGACTTTGGAGGTGTCTATTGCACTGGGATATATTGAGAGAAATGTGGGTAATTCACCTATCCTTACGTAAGTTAAACAGGAGATGAAATTGAGAGCCTAAAAGGTAGACATTGGTGCGATCCCTGGCTGGCTTTCCTCAGCCACCACTGCTCTGAGCCTTGGTTCTTCTTGCAGGAAAGAATCAGAAGGGGGCTCAGACCCAGACAGAGGAAGAAATGACCAGATATATCCAGGAGCAACAAAAGCACCAGGTGAGTCGCAGCCTCCATGCTGGTTCAGGTCTCCCACCACCAGGCCCTCCCACCACTCAGACACTTCCTGATGCCCCAGGAGACCAAGGAGATCTGTGCTCTGTTCCATACATTAGGTTCTGAATGCTATACCTGTATAGCTGTATCATGCAAACCATGATACAGACAGCTCCCTGATGGAATCATTGCGGAGCCAGCAGGTCCCAGCCAACGTAGGTTACAGCTTGGTAAATTGCCTTATGAGTTAGAATTAGCGAGGCAGTGGTTTACAAATGAGTTGGAAGTAGTTTGCAAAGGAGCATGGTCTAAAGAAGTGTTCCTGTGTCATGTCATGACCAGCGCCCAGACCCAAAGACTATGAGCTTCTTGAGGGCAGGCTCTGTAACCTGCTCACCACTGCTGTCTTGCATTTAGTGCAGGGCCTGGTGTATAACTGGTTCTCAATGAGCATGAAGTTAGTGGATTTGGACCACAGAAGAAAGAATTTAAGTTGAAGAGCCTGGGATCCTAGAGGTTCTGCTTCCTAGAGACTTGAGAAGATAAGAATTCTATTCAGGTTCTATGTCATTAAGTGGAAGGCCTTCTTGGGAAAAATGTTCTTAGCAGAATAGTGATCCACTGATATATTTTGCTGAGAGTCTAGAGAGAAAACATGAATATGCCGGACTGCTAGGCATGTCTTTTTACCTCCTCTAAAAAAAGTAAATAAATGAGTAAACTTAACTACTTCCGTCCCCTTCTCAAAAAAAAAAGAAAAACTTTAGAGAAGAACAATTAAGATGAAATATTTGACTTGAAAATCAAGAATTATTAATACTAATAATAATTGCTCATATTTATTGATAGTTTTCACATGCGTTTTGTCATTTTTGTCACTGATAGTGTAGAAACCTCATGTCAGTTTTTTAAACAAAAGCAGAAGCTCCTAGCTTTTTTCCATATTTTGGTAGCCTTGAGTCTCCAGAGAAGTACAAACCCATAAAAGCAAAAAGAACTTAGTAAGAATTCCTTTCATCTAGGGTGGAGAAGTGATCAGAGTAGACAGTGGGGAGTGAATTATAATAGCTAACATTTTTTTAGCATCCCTGTTTTGTGTGAGTTTCCTCGGAAGCAGACTCTAAGGCAAGGACTCAAGTACAAATAGTTTATTTGGGAAGCAGTCCCAGGAAACACCAGAAGGGGAGTTGGGAAGTGCGCCCAGGAAGGGAAGGAAGCAATAAAGAGTGTGTATCCAGGCACTTACCACTGGGGCAAGTGCAGCTTAGCCTGTTGCAGATCTCTGGGAACAGTAATCCTCCCAAGCGGGCAGGAGCTGGGCTGTGCCTACGCAGTCTTCCGTCAGCCACTGGCTGGGAGCTACCATGAGCAAACGTGAATCCCCTGGCATTTCTGGCCTGCTAGCACGTGTGGGCAGAGCAGGCTCCGCCAGCCAGAGAAAGCCTCAGGCAAAGAGACGCAGGTGCCAGCAGCAAGAAGCCGTGCCCGTGTACTGAAACGTTAAAGACAAGGGGCTGTGGACAGGCACCGACAGTGTCTGCTAGATGCCGGGCACTGCTGTTGTTTTTTTATTCCCTATTTAATTTTTTTATTGAAATATAATTCATGTACTATAAAACTCACGCTTTTAAAGTAAACAGTCCAATAGGTTTTAATATATTCACAAGATTGTCAACCATCCACACTGTCTAATTCCAGAACATTTTCATCATCCCAGAAAGACAACCGATACCCACTGGAAGTCACTTACATTCTCTCCTCCCCAAGTCCCTGGCAACCACTAGTCTACTTTCTAATTCTATAGATTTGCCTATTCTGGACACATATAAATGGAATTAAACAATATATGGCATTTTCTGTCTGACTTCTTTCATTTATCATAATGTTTTCAAGGTTTATCCTTGCAGCGTGAATCAGCACTTCATTCCTTTGTATGGCTAAATAACACTTCCTGGTGTGGATATACCACATTTTGTAGATCCATTTATCAGTTGATTTATATTTAGGTTGTTTCCACCTTTTGGCTGTGATGAATAACACTGCTGTGAACATTCTTGTATGCATTTCTGGGTGGACATATGCTTTCAGTTCTCTTAGGTATATACCCTGGAGTGGAACTGCTGGATCATATGGTAACTCTGTTTAATCTTTTGAGGAGCTGCCAGATTGTTTTCCAAAGTGGCTGTACCATTTTACATCCTCACCAGCAGTATTCCAGTTTCTCCACAAACTCATCAACATTTGTCATTGTCATGATTTTCTTTTTTTAGCCATTCTAATGGGAGTGAAGCGGCATCTCATTGTAGTATTGATTTGCATTTCCCTAATGACTAATGGTGTTGAGCATCTTGTCATGTGCTTTTTGGCTGTAAGTAAGAATGTCTTCTTTGGAGAAGTGTGCCACAGTTATGAGGTAGTACTTTACTACCCTCATTTTGTAGTTGAGGCACAGAAGACTTCATAATATGGCCAAAATCCCCCAAAAAGTAGCTTGGCATGATTCAAGCTCAGAGCCTATTGCTGTCAATGCTTCTCTGGACTTGGACTTAGAACATTTTGTAGCACTTCCATTTAGTAGCTTTTTCTTCATTTTTAAAATGAATATCATAATGTCTGACCTGATCGTTTCAAAGGAATCTAAATAGAGTTAGCTCTTAATTTAACAGCAGTCCCCTGTACAACTAAGTTGTGGGTAAGACTTGAGCCTTGTCCTCAAGTCATTCATCATCCGCCGAGGAGACAGATAGGTAAACAGAACTAAAACTCAGCATAAGCATGTATCTGTCAACGCTATATAAAGTCCTGAGGACTAGATAAATGCCAGCACTTCTTAAAAATATTTCCTAATGCTTATTATTTTCTCTTGCTTCTCATAGGAAACAGCTGAAAAGACTAAGAGAGTGAGCACCAAAGAAATCTAATGAGGAGGCATCTGGGAACGGTGTGCAGAGCCTGGCACCTTCTCTTCCACTTCAGCGCTGAGTCCAGTATACGCAAGTGTCTGCTACAATCGCCAAATCACCAGTATTTGCTTGTATAGCAACAAGTTTTATTTTGTCTATTTGTTTTGCAATAAAGGAATTGGGGTGGCTGGCTAGGAGGGGAAGGGCCAGAGCCTTCATTTCTAGGAGAGCTTTGAGAGAAACTGTAAATGGTGCTCGGGGGCTGGAGACAAGTAAGGAAACTGCATCAGGGTTGGGAGAGAAGTGGACCCAGATCTGAACCACTTCTGAGTCTACCACAGCTATGAACATGCTGCAGGGAGTGCAGGCAGTGAGAGAGACCTCAGCAGGCTGTCCTCACAGGAGGGGTTTGGGAAGCTCAGTGGAAAAGACTGCATTCTGCTTCCAACCCTTCCTGCTGCCATCAGTGTATCAGACCTCCAGCATCTGTGCTTCTCCTCATGGCTCCCGCTACTGGCTCTAGATACACGGCCATCCTGCTAGTTACCCAGTGTCCCTCAGACTTGATGAACTTTCTGGGAGGGTACACCCAAATGATGCAGATACTTGCAGACTTTGAGCCCCTTAGAGACCTAACCAAATTTTTAAAATACTTTTTACCAAAGGTGCTATTTTTCTGTAAACTTTTTTTGGCAAGTTGATTTCATTCTTCAATTATTATCATTATATTATTGTTGTTGTTTTTTAATATTTTATTTTCTTGACTAGAAATTAAGCTTTTGTAATTATTTTTCATTTGTCCTACCATTTCAGAGGTGGAAGAGTTTGGGGTTCTTCCTGGTGCAGGGACTGACTGCTAAAACCCAGACTCCTTCCACCCTGTCACATACTAGATGCAGCCCAGCGTTTGCGCCCTGGCTTCCAGTGGGTCAGCAGTCTGCCAGAGGAGCAGGGAGTGCCTCAGACAGAAGCCAGGAGAAGAAGTATCTCCATACAAAGCTTTTAAGATCCAAAAAGCTAATTTGCTTTCATTTATTCTGATAGATTCATGCAAATCAGTATTCCAAAGGATGGAAGCAAGTGCAGCTAAGCAAGACTTAGATATCCCAGCCTATCAGTATGCTCAGCGATTTTCCACTAACCAGGAGAGTTGACTTTGGCCCTGTCTCTTCCTATTTCTGGGCCTCAGCTTCCTCAGTGAGCAGGTAGGAATGCATTAAACTTTTGATTTGATAAATTATAAATTCTGTGTTTCTGAGAAGTGGTCCAGAAGGATACAGGTTCTTGTGATTTTCCTTCTTCTCCTTAGGATAAATGAAACCTTGTTGTTCTAACAAGAAGAGTCAGGCAGGCAAAAACAAGATGTCCAAATCTGACCTCAGTCTGAATGGCCCCGCAGGTTGTGCTGTGATGTAGAGCCCTCGGGTAAGGCTTGCCCGGGAGGAGAGTGGGAAAGAGGACCATTCCACTTTGTCTTCACTTTTGCTTTTCATCTTGAACCTTCTTGGGAACAGCATGGTTTTCCCTTTAGAGATGAGGACAAAAGAAGGTTTCACATTTCAAGAAGGGGAAAAATGGAAATTTTATCTTAAAATTGTGATTGGGGTGAAGTCAATTGTTCCTCTGTATTTTGGCCTCTGATACTTAACTCCACTTAATACCATGTTTAAGATGCATTTGGAATAACAAAATTAGAAACTTGACATAAGATCTCATTTTCAGAAAGCAGATTACAAACGACCAGAGGGAAATTATGTAAGCTATACTGCACAGACAGCTCAGAAAGTTGTGCTGAAAATGGAATTCCTTCTAAACAAGTTTCCTTGTTCTCCTTTGAAAGGAGAACATTCCACTGTGTTTCGAATTCTGAGCTTTTATACATCATCCCACTTAAAAGTTCTCTTTGAATCCCACTTGTGTGGTCTGAAATGCACCTCCCTGTCAAAGTGCCTTGGAGAACTCCCAACATCACGCCTTGATCGAGCTTTGCCAGGCCTTGGACACTATGAAAGAGAGGTCTGGAGTAGCAGTCTGTTTAAAGCAAGAAGGCAGAGTGTCTCCTCACCAGTTACATTTAGGTCAGTAGTTGCCATCCATGACAACCCTACCCTGCAACATGGAATTCCCAAGAGCAAATCTGCATTCCTCCTGTAAATAGGGAAGCTACTGTCTGCACCATAGAATCACATTATCTGGCGATCATTCATGGGAAGCTGCTGAATAGACTTAGTTGGGGAGTCTTGCATGGAGCTTTGCATGGAGCAAATAAACAGGACTAAATCGGGTTCAGTTCCTCCAGCTCTCTAAAAGCACAGGGATTAGACTGCAAGCTTCCTCGGGCTTTCTCTGTGTGTATATGGCTTTATAAACATATTACAGCATCTGTTAAGATTCAGTGTCCATGGAAATCTACTCACATGCCATGACTCTGAACTCCATCACTGTTGGAAAGCAGGGCTCCTCTACCTACTCATAAGCCCATGTGGACCAGTTTGAATGTCTTTCCTTTATACTTAATGTTTTTAAATAGTCAAATTTCAAGAAGCAATTTGGACAGGTTTCTGTTGCCTGTGTGTTTGTGAAATGTATTTGTATTTAGTAGGCTTCCATATTGCATTTAACTTGTTTTTGTAACTCCTGATTCTTTTTTTTTTTTTGGATACTATTGATAAATAAAGAAATTAAAATAATAGTCATTTTTTTTTCCTTCCCCCCAGTTAAGGCCAAATAAGTTTCTGAAAACATTAACCATTTACCTCATAAAAGTGGATTTGAGTTTCAGGAGTCTTAAACGAGACCTGAAGAGTTTCTCCTAATAAAATCTTGGGGCTGCAGCTGGGCGGGAAGTTTTACTCAAGGACTGATAGAACAAGTTTATTTAAAAGAATCATTGATGGTGGGTCTGGGGTAGGAAATGATGAAAAGTCAGGGAGCATTCCTGTACTGGGAAGAGGTTAAATTAAATGACTCCCAAAGCCTCCATGAATTCTGTGAGACTGGAATGGCTTCGAGTGAGACAGGCTGCAGGTTAACCTGTATGAGAAGCCAAACAAACCTGGGAAGGTGGCACAGGGAGCATGCCAAGGTCTGGTTGGATAACCTTAGTGGCTTTTATCTGAAAACACATGTATCTCACAGCGATAAACATTTCCAAGTGGACTGAGTGTTGGCTGGTTAAGACCTGTTCAGCTTCATCTTGGAGACACATGACCAGTATCTGGTTTCTATCTCCCTGTCCAAGTGATTTTTATAGGTATCACACACTCCCCACCCCCAATAGTTCTGTTTTCCAAAAGAGCTCATTACAGTTGATGAGGTTTAAGCTTTCTTGACTTTAGTCATAATGTGTAGAAGTCTTGCCTCTCTAAAATTATAGCCAGGTCACCTTGATTGAATTTGGGGTATTACTCAAATGCTAATCAGATATTAAGATGCCATCTCTGATTGTGTTATTGCTACATATTACTGATATCATTAATCACAGGTCGATTCTTTAAACTTTCATGCTCAGAAGGGAATCTTAAATCCAATTTGAAGGGCACCTTGTCTACAACCATTTTTAAACACTGACTGGCCTCTCCCAACTTTCTTCCATGCTCTGGAAGCATTTTTCCTGCAATTACAGTGTGTTTGTGTTCAAGAAGGGAAAATGAATTAAAATAGCCTAAAAGAAGCATAATTCAGAAGTTAAGTTTCCTATCATCAAAGTGTAACATTATGAGTTGTGTCAATTAGTACAAATTAATTTGACTAGCTTTAGTTTTGGAGCACCTGTGTCAAGTTCCCATCAGTCTTCTTGAATTATTTCTGAAATAAGGGGAAGGAAGTAGTAAAAAAATTTTGAATGAGTAGATAAATCTAAGCAAAAGCCCTCAGAGCCCTTTAGTAAATCTAGCATGAATGGGGAACATGAAAAGAGTTGGTGCTGAGGGCTAATTCATGATGCAACAAGAAACATCCTATCGCCATCTGAATGAGAGATCTCCCTGTCAACAGAAATTGAGTTTTTAAATTAACACTTATTTCTTATTGAAAACTAATATACGCACGTGGTAAAAGAAAAAAATTTGAATTGTATGAAAGAAAATACAGTGAAAAAATTAATCCCCTTAGAGAATGTGTTCATTTATAAATGTACTTATGATTGCCAATTATCCTTCAAAGAAGTTACATGCATTTATATTTTCACCAAAAATACATACACTGAGCATGTCTGCTTTGCTACATTTTTGCAAGCACTGTGTCAAAACTTGGGCTTCTGAAGGAAGAGAAATGGTAATTCATTGCTTTGTTTTTAATTTATTTATTTTATTATTCCTTTTGTGAGATTGAACATCTTTCTATGAATTATTGGTCCTTGTCCTTTTCTTTCATTCCTTTTGCTCACTCTTCTATTGATTGTTGGCCTTTTTCCTATTGGCTTTTAACACTTCTTCACATACTGTTATTAGCTGTTTGTCATGAGGATGGCAAGACCTGGTAGTAGTAGATCCATTAGAAGGCTATTTCAGGAATGAGGTGAGAAATAATGGTGATTTGAATTAAGGTAATGGCAGTGGGGATAAATAGAAGGTTGAGGAGATAGCATTGATAAGGAGTTGGCTATTGACCAGCTATGGAGGTTAAGGAGGAGGTGATGGTCAAGAATGACTCCAAGGTTCCAGCTTGGACAATTGGTAGATAGTGGTGCCATTTCCTGAGGTTGGTAAGAGAGCAGGAAAAGCCATTTGGCGAGGGGAGGGAGGAGGGAATGGGAAATAATAAATTCAGTTTCACATAGGTTGAATCTGAGTTTCCTTAAGACAACCAAATGAAGATACCTTGTGAGCAGCTGGATAGGAAATTTCTTGAAGAGACCTAGGCTGGAGATACAGCTATTGGAATAGACAGTATAGAGGTAGTGTTCCTTTGTGTAGACAAGATGGCCATGGAGAATATATCAAGTGAGGAAAAAAAATATATAGAGTTGAGAGGGTCCATCATAAAGACAGAGAACCCTTTTGAGAAACTCTGGGTATGTGTATTTCTCCTACTTCCTCATGGCATCACTAACAAAAAGTATACACAGTTGGAAAAATAGTACAATGGGTTGAATTCATATATGAGAGCATAGCATGTAGAGAATTCAGATGGGAAATGTTATTATGTCTATAGAGAGGTCAAAGCTGAGAAGGAACCACCATGCATGTATGGAATAGAGTAACACAACTTGCTGGAAAATGGGTGAAATGAATTTAGGTGAAAGGAGCAGGAAATGTACCCTGATGAGGACCACTGGAATGCACAGGTCTTATCCGACCTATGGTGGTCAAATAAGAAACTTAGAGAAACTTGATAATGTTAGGGCCTGTAAAAAGAATGCATTGCCAGGAAAATAAAAGACAAGACTGTTCATGGATAAGAATAAAATATTTAACCAGGAAACTTGTATAAAATTGTCAAGAAGACGAACTTTTAAAAGGACATTTTTCCCTGTAGAAGAGAAGGGATTTTGCCCTTCTGGTGCCTAGCCTCATTTTTAATTATACAAGTTAGAAGAACTTGTGATTTTCCAAAGGGCAGTGACAACTCAAAACAAAATGCTTGCTCCAGAATTTTTCTGAGAGACTCCATAGTTAAATCTGGTAGTCAGTAATATTTATAACTTCACATATTCTTCGTCTTTCATAAATGCCAATCATCCAAGAATTTTCACCTTTCAACTTCTTTCTAATTGACTTGTATCATAACATCGTTCTTATTGTGATTGATACCTTAGAGAAACAATATAATGTCATGTTTAACAACCAGGTTTATATTCCTGGCTCTGCCCCTGCCCTTTATACTTCTGGAAGTTATTTAACCTCTCTATGTCTGAGTTTCCTCTTTAAAGTGGCATAATAACAGTACCTACCTCTTTTTCTTTTTCTTTTTCTTTTTTTTTTTTTTGAGGATTCAATGAGCTAATGTATATAATTTTTTTGAATAGTCCCTGGCACATAGAAAGTGTGTAAGTGTCAAATATTACCAATTATTTTCACCTATTGTACATTCTAATAACTCTCACAGTGACCTTGTGAAAAAGTTATTTTACAGATAAGGAACATACAGCTCATAAAGTTTAAGGAATTTACTTAAGACCACACAGTTAACAAAGAACAGAGTCAAGATTCAAACCTGGTCTGGGTCCTTCTCATTCTCATTCTACATTGCCACAATGTTTCATTTTATTTTAAAAATTATATCAATATGAACCATTAATTTCTAATTAGTGTTCTCTAATTATGTAATTGCTGATCACATACAAGTAATTCATTAATTTTTTCATTCAGTTCTAATGACTGTCTGCCTGTCCTCTCATTTTGGTTTCTTTTAAGTAGATATGTGAGTGCAGTTCAGGCCAGGCCTCTGAAGTTCCCTGAAGCATGATCCCCAATCCATTTTGGTCTCCCCAGAGATGGATCCCCAGCCAGGAGTCATGCCAGCCAGGTGGGACCCCAGCAACTCCAGCACACACCTCAAAGGTTTGGCCTGTTGAAAACTTATCTTAGGAATGCAGGTGTAAAATCTACGATTGCACAAATCTCCCTGATGTGCCTTCTTTGGGTGACATTCTATGTGGAGGTTTTAGAAGCAGACATAATCTTATCTCCAGTGGAGTTATTTTATCATCTGAATCCAACAATTCAAAAAACATGGGTTTTAAGCCAATGAAAACCTCTGGTTCCTGGATGATTTTCTCTATTTTCTTTGCTCTTTCATGCCTTTTCCTCCTCCCATAGCCTAAGCTTAATTCCTACAAGAACCAGGAAAGGTATCACTCCTACCCCCTTTCAAAAAGGAACAAAGAAGGAGAATCTGTACAAAAAGCACAGAGAAAGGATAGATTTGGAAGGTGAAGTTTAAGAATAATAAAGACTCTGAAATCAATTGGGCAAATCAGAAAAGTTCAAGAGTTAGTCTCACCTTCTCTGACTTTGCAAGATTTCCATAGCCTTTGTCAAGTTATGCCAGAGAAGCCTTTTACAAATGTACTCATTCCCATTCGTAATCAGTTTTAGGAAGATACCTCTCTCTCAACTTCCTGTCAGCAAAGTGCCCATGTAACTTCAATACCAAAACCCAAAATACCTAGCTTAGAGAAAACCTGCTCTGCCCTGAAGTTTCCAAAAATCGTTTGTCACCATAGCACCATGTCGATGAAATAGACACAGAGTAGACAGTTCATCAGACTTTAAATCATCTCTCATTTTACAGTTAGATTTTTAAATTTTATTTAAACTTGACATGTGAGAAGCATAAGGTCAAATAAAAGTAAATCTTATCATTAAGAGAATTAGGGATAAAGAAGCAAGGCTTTATCAATATATAGACATAAGAGAGACAAGATGGGGGAGCTTCTGTAGCTTTAGTCAACATTCAACACACTAGAGCTGTTCCCTCCTTTCTTTTTTTTTCCGTTTATGACAGATAGGTGCCTCAGACAAAGATAATAAAATGCACAACAGAAAACTATGCGCTCCACTGGCTACAGGCAAGACAGTTTGGTTCTCTGGCAGATGTTACCCAGGTTGTCCTAACAGGAGTCTTATGTACGGGGATGTGTTCTCCTTGTAAAAAAGAAAAAAACCAAGGCAGGCTAGAGTGCTGTGCTAGAGACAAACCCTGCATTCAGCTACAGTGCATCCCTGAGAGTCACACAGGAGAGAGC